CATTTCATTTAATGCATTCTGAAATATTTGAGTAATATAGCAAAGTATTATTTATCATTTAATTTTATTTTATTTAAATATGTAACTCCTGAATATTTAGGAAACATTGCAGAAATATTGAATTATTAATAATATTTAGGTAACATTGCAAAATAATATTAGTTTATTTAATTATTAAGTAAGCGAATATTATTTTGCATTGTTTCTTAAATATTAAGGAGTTACATACTTAAATTAAATTAAATGATAAATAATATTACTTTGCTATATTACTCAAATATTTCAGAATGCCTTAAATGAAATGGTAAATTGAATTTTAATTTGACATTTAATTTAATGCATTTTAATTTAATGCATTTTAAATATTTTTTAATATATGCCTTAATATATATATATATATATATATATGCCTTAAATGAAATGGTAAATTTAATATCAAAATATTATTTTGCAATGTTACTTTATTATTATTGCATTATTAAACAGCATATTAAATGCTAGAAATACATTTAAATTAAATTAAAAATAAATAATATTTTTGAGGTTTTTTAAACTATATTTTTATTAAACACTCCAAAAAGGATATTATTTACATAAAGAGAGGTAGAACAACATGATAAGAGAGAAAGTGGGAATTCCAATTTTATATTTTTTTGTTATTTAAACTAAATATTGCGAAATTATGGGTTTTTTTCTTGAAGTGATACACCACGTGAATTATGCTCGGGTTTTTTGGTGAATTTTGACACACCATGCTCAAAAGGTTGCCCATCACTGGTTTAAGCAATAATTAAACTAATAGATCTTTCTGGGCATCTATTTAGTAGATGCCCAAAAACATTTGGTAGGTATCTCAACTTTGCAAAATGGAGGTGCTTTTAAAACAAAAGAAAGAGGAAAGAAGCATGAAGATATATAGAGACAGACAGACAGACAGACAGACAGATAGATAGATAGGACAATGGTCAGACATGAGAAAGACCTTGCAGAAAAGCAGTAAGTAGACATATGCGGTCAAAACTTGTGGAAATGGGGACAAGAAGTGATTGTGTTGCAACAAGTTGAGTTCGAAGGTTGGTCCGTTATCTGAAAAGTTGAAGACTGCAATACATAAAATCCTTGCATACATTAGTTGAAGACAGTTTCACAGGAAAAACTGCATATGTATCTCGAGAAGCATATACACCTAAAATGGAAGCTACTGATATGTATCTGTCTGATATTAATAGAAAAGACCCAATTCTGCCAGAAGCTGAGCAATTCTGCAGAAGCACGTCCGTGACTTCTAGTGATTTTAGTTTAGATATTGTCACACATCTTTGCAACCCTCCCATCAAGGAGACTGTACCTGACACCAGAAACGCTAGGAGTGAGTAATGCAGAACATATTAGTCAAGACAATGTACCTTAACCTCCTGAGTGAACCATACCGTTGAAGGATAGAGAATTCGGCAATTTTGCTGGCAGTTCACACTTCTTTTCCCCAATCTAGCAATTACCAAGTGCCCTGAAGCAAGCATATGAATAATGCTAAATTTGGAAACCATAGCATAAGCACAAAGCATTTCAGGATAAAGTGACAGCAACTAGTTAGCATGACCATGGGGCGTAAGGGGAACGGATACTTTGGTGGATCTGAACTGTTTGCCCTAGAACAGCTCTTCAGTGGAGCAGAGGAGCTGCGATGACACAATAGGTTAAACCCTACACTGCTGACCTGAAGGTCGGTGGTTCAAATCTGCGAGATGGGGTGAGCTTCCATTTGTCAGCCCCAGCTTCCCATGCGGGGCCATGAGAGAAGCCTTCCACAGGTTGGTAACACATCCAGACATCCCCTGGCCAATGTCCTTGAAGACGGCCAACTCTCTCACACCAGAAGGAACTTGCAGTTATCTCAAGTCACTTCTGGCACAATAAAAAAGTGGAACAGAATAAGGGCCTTATTACAATTAACACGGCAATATACCTGTGCTGCCAAACGACGATAGTACCAATTTCTCTCGTAAGTTTACATCTTCCATGAAGACCCAGAAAAGGAGAATTGAACAGGGAGAACAGACACAAATGTAACTCGATGTCAACTTCTTTCTATCCTCATGTGTATTTACACTTTCCCAAAATAAGCATCGTCACTTCAGTGTACAAATATCAAAGTTAATTTGGTGCATAGAAAACTCTGTTTCAAAATTATGGCAGATACATCACAGCTAGAGGGAAGGATTGTCCAGTCACTGGCCATTTCTGTCAGATAGAGAGGAATATCTTTGCCTAGTTCCTTTTGTCTGCGATGCCTGCGATGCAAAGGCGGTTGAGTGAATGAAGAGGGGAAAAGCCAAAGGTGCAGGTTTTCCAAGTAATGTGATGTAGGATCAACTGATGCTGGTTTTATACCAGGACTGCTTCACTGTGTACAATAATACAAGGAAAAGAGGGACCTAAGCAGATGTACAGTGATACCTTGAGTTAAGAGATTAATTCATTCTGTGACCAAGCTCTTAACTCAAAATGCTGTTATCTCAAAACAAATTTCCCCATTGAAATGCAATTAATCTGTTCCGGAGCCCCGTAAAATCCCCCCCCCCCATTTTTGTTATGTGTTTTTAAAGCAGAAAATGTATTTTATAAATAACAAATAATGTCTAAATGCACATTCAGATAGAGCAATAAAAAAGAAAGATCAACTTTAAAATGGAAGAAGAAGCACAAAGCTGTGGCAAGGAAGTGCAAAGTGAAGAAGAGGCAGAAACCTCCTTTTCTTCTTCCTCCTGTCCTCCTTCCAGTCTCTCCCCCCCCTCCCCCGCCTCTCTCTTTCTCTCCTTGTCTCTCTTCATGAAGCCAAACAGATCCTCCTTTCCGTCTCTTTCCCTCCCTCCTTCCTTCCTTCCCACTTTTTCTCTCCTCTCTCTTCATGAAGCCAAACAGACCAGGAATAAAAACAACACAGAATCAGCTAACCCAAAGTTCTTCGAAGCGGACAAGAGCAAAGCGGACAGACAGCAATCTCCCAAAGCAGACAAGGATATGAGCCCTCAAGCCCTGCATTCTCTCTGACACTTGCTCATAATGCAAAACATTGTTCGTATGTCAAAGCAAAATCCAGACCGAGTGATGGCTCTTAATTCAAAATGCTCTTAAGCTGGGATGCTCTTAAGTGGAGGTTCTGCTGTATTAGCCTTTCACTCCTGAAAAGGAGTGGGCCAGACAGGGACACATTCCACCCAGACAAGACACCGGCACAACATCCAAAAGGTAAGACACCTTGGCCTCCAGACTGTTGTTCACCCTGAGAGCCCTTTGTTGCACATATCCCAGCTCATTGTACCCCTCAGTTGTGGTGCCCAGAACTGGACATATTAGGCAATGTTCAAAAGTAAGGGGAAACCCAGCATGATGTTAAAGGAACAAGGATGAAAAAGAACGCAGTGTCAACTGTCCCATCCAGCATTACTCAGTACCTTTGAAAAGAGAAGGCCTATACTTGCCATGTGGATGCCATATATACAGGATGCCTCCAAAATGTATACATTCTTTGACAGTTAAGAGTAGCTATGGCAATTATTCGAAGGCTTAGTAAACATCTTCATATTGCAGAATAGGTATTATATTAACATAATTTACAATTTTATGTAAGGTGTTTATTGTTAACCAACCATTCTCACATTGTCAAAGCACAGGGCAGCAAAGCTCAATTAAAAACTTCCTTACAATTTCACTACATTTCTCTTCTACTAGAATCTATAATCGGTTAAAGGTGAATATATACTTTTTTGCAAAATGAATTGAGAAAAGGCCCAAAGTATAAGCTCTTAATAAGAGTGCATACACTTTGGATCCTCAAAATTGGATCAGGACACCTGTAGGAATACCAGGATGATTGTTTATAAAGCTATTGTCCTCCCAACCCTGCTATACACCTGTGAAACATGGACTGTCTACAGACATCACATTCAATGGAGCCCCCAGTGGAGCAGTGGGTTAAAACCCTGTGCCAGCAGGACTGAAGACTGACAGGTCGCAGGTTCGAATCCGGGGAGAGGCGGATGAGCTCCTCATGCAGGGACATGAGAGAAGCCTCTCAAGGATGATAAAAAACATCAAATCATCCGGGTGTCCCCTGGGCAACGTCCTTGCAGATGGCCAATTCCCTCACACCAGAAGCAACTTGCAGTTTCTCAAGTCACTCCTGACACGACAAAAAAAATCACATTCAACTCCTGGAAGGATTCCATTAACGTTGCCTCTGAAAAATCCTGCAAATCTCTTGGGAAGACAGGTGAACAAATGTCAGCGTGCTGGAAGAAGCAAAGACCACCAGCATTGAAGTGATGCTCCTACGCCATCAACTCCACTGGACTGGCCACATTGTCTGAATGCCTGATCACCATCTCCCAAAGCAGTTACTATACTCCCAACTCAAGAACGGGAAACATAACGTTGGTGAACAGGAAAAGATATTTAAAGATGGGCTTAAAGCGAACCTTAAAAACTGTGGCATAGACACTGAGAATTGGGAAGCCCTGGCCCTTGAGCTCTCTAACTGGAGGTTGGCTGTGATCAACAGCGCTATGAAATTCAAAGAGACACGAATGGAGGGCAAAAGGGAGAAACGTGTAAAGAGGAAGGCGATGACCAACCCTGACCGGGTCCATTTTCCACCTGGAAGCCGATGTCCTCACTGTGGGAGAACATGCAGATCAAGAATAGGGCTCCACAGCCACCTACAGACTCACCGCCAAGTCACTACACTTGGAGGACCCTCATCCTCAGTCTACGAGGTATACATTTTGGCGGGACAGCTGTACAGGTCAGTCACCATTGATCTTCCACCATAAAACGTTTGGGGTCAAACTTGGTTTGTTTTTTGTTTAATATCTAAGGTAGCACAAAGAGAATAATGGCATGCAGTGAAGCAACAGGGGACGCTGATCATCCAAGACTATAAAGTACTTGCATATTGACTTTTCTCAAAGAATGTCTCTGAAATTAAACTTAAGACTTACTTTGCAGGGTAGAACTCCTTCTTGTCTGACGATCCAAGACTCTGTAAAACAAAAAACAAAAAAAACGCCATTAACCTTCCCTTTCCCCTTAGGTACAAGCAACACAAAGCAACAATAGTACCACAATGCAGCACATAGTACACATGGCTGGGTCTGAAGACCTTAAGGTTTTCAACTTTGCAAAGTCCTGTGATACTATTGAGAATCTAAAGCTTGTCAGTGACTAAAAGGAGCAACATATGTCCAAAAGAGTGACTTTTCCACACAAACCAGGAGACGGTCCAAATAAAGGCGAAGCATATAGACATTATTTCTAGTGAAAAGTAATTTTGGGGAAAGGAAGCTAGGAAATACTCTAGTTCAAGACACCATAGAACTATGGGCAGTAGAAACAATGCATTGGCTAAATCTTCATTGCCAGGTAATGCCATTTGAACCGTATTATCCTATTTACTTGAATTGAATGTTCACCTTTTTTGGCTAACTGGTGGCCTTCCATGCAGTCATGCCAGCCACATGACCGTGGAGGCATATACGGACAACGCTGGCTTTTCGGCTTAGAAATTGAAATGAGCACCACTCCCCAGAGTTGGATTTGACTAGACTTAATATCAAGCAGAAAACTTTATCTTATCTTGCCAAAATAAGTTGTGTATTAGTACTATTTTTTCATGTTAGGAGCGACTTGAGAAACCGCAAGTTGCTTCTGATATGAGAAAATTGGCTGTCTGCAAGGACGTTACCCAGGGGATGCCCGGATGTTTGATGTCTTACCATCCTTGTGGGAGGCTTCTCTCATGTCCCCACATGGGGAGGCGGAGCTGACAGAGGGAGCTCAACCTGCTCTCCCTGGATTTGAACCATTGACCTATTGGTCAGCAGTCCTGCCAGCACTAGGGTTTAACCCTCTGTGCCACGGGGGCCCCATCTTAGTACTGAGCCAAAGCAAAAGGGGAATGTCATAACCTGTGATTACGGTTGTTAGCAATTAATAGAATTGCAATATGACACACATATCCATGTTTAATACTTTGAATCACTGATCTTGATCTTAATATATATTTTAAACCCTCTGATTTTAAAGTTTTGAGACTTTCATTCATTCATATCCATGTGGAGTCCCTGGAGCTCCTATCTGAAGGACCTCACCTGTAATTTAATGACCAGGGTTCTATGTTTTGCAATCCTGGGATTTGTAGTTTGGTGAGCCACAAGTATTCTTTGGCAGAGAAAGCTCAAAATCTTGTAAAACTACATTATTTCAGGGCAGTTAAAATGAATTCACTGGCCAGCAGAGATGCGCCCTACGGTTTCTTTTCCATCACTGGAAGCTTTGATATTCTAACACTTTTGTTTTTAAATAAAGAATCCTAAGCTGGCAGCCGGTGGTGCAAAGGGTTAAACCCCTGTGCCGGCAGGACGGAAGACTGACAGGTCAAACATCCGTGCATCCCCTGGGCAACGTCCTTGCAGACGGCCAATTCTCTCACACCAGAAGCGACTTGCAGTTTCTCAAGTCTCTCCTGACACGAAAAAAAATCCACATCTTTTTGGCCAAATTATAGAATGCACTTTTCCCCAATGTGCATTACATTCGGCAGCAAATACTTCTTTTGGTTTCAGGGTTTTGAAAATTAAAGTGCGCATTGGATACAGTGGCACATGAGATCCAAGTACATACGGTATATGATCAGTGTAGACCCATAGAATGCAGCCTGAACTGCATTACATGAGTCTACACTGACCAGATAATGTTGTTCAAACTATCGTTATTTTGCAGTGCAGATCCAGCCTGAGCCAACCCTATTTAACAGTCCAATTTAGTTCAAGACAGGTGTATACATTGATCCTCTGCTGTTCAGAGGTGACACTGCCCATGTCTAGATTTAATGCTGAAGCAAAAGGCCAAACCATGGGAAGAACATTGCTTTTTGGACAAGTGTCTGGTCTCAGTTAATTCTGAGGCTCTATCTTGTCTCCCATGCTCTTTAACATCTACATGAAACCGCTGGGAGAGGTCATCCAGAGTTTTGGAGTTAAGTGCCACTTCTATGCAGATGACTCACAACTCTATCACTCATTTCCACCCAACTCCAAGGAGGCCTCTCGGGTGCTGGACGAGTGCCCTGCCGCTGTGTCTATCTGGATGAGGAGGAAGAAGCTGAAGATCAATCCCGACAAGACAGAGGTCCTCCAGGTCGATCGCAAACCTGATTGGGGTATAGGGTGGCAACCTGTGCTGGACGGGGTTACACTCCCCCTGAAGCCACAGGTCCGCAGTTTGGGAGTCCTCTTGGATTCATCGCTTACGCTTGAGGCTCAGGCGTCGGCGGTGTCCGGGAGGGCTTTTGCACAATTGAGACTCGTGCGCCAACTGCGACCGTACCTCACAAAGGCTGATCTGGCTGGGGTGGTCCATGCCTTGGTCACCTCTGGATTGGACTACTGTAATGCGCTCTACGTGGGGCTGCCCTTGAAAACGGCTTGGAAATTTCAGCTGGTCCAACGGGCAGCGGCCAGGATGTTGACTGGTGCTCCTTACAGAGAGAGGTCAACCCTCCTGTTCAAGGAGATACACTGGCTGCCGCTTATTTTCCGAGCCCAATTTAAGGTGCAGGTGCTTACCTACAAAGCCCTAAACAGTTTGGGACCATCCTACCTGTGTGACCGCATCTCGGTGTATGAACCCACACGCTCACTTCGTTCATCCGGAGAGGCCCTGCTCGCGATTCTGCCTGCGTTGCAGGCGCGTTTGGTGGGGACCCGAGACAGGGCCTTTTCTGTGGTGGCCCCCCGACTCTGGATTACCCTCCCCAAAGATCTGAGACAGGCCCCTACGTTGGCAGTCTTTAGAAAGAACTTGAAGACCTGGCTGTTCCGATGTGCCTTTCCAGAATAGGAATCCTCCAATAACAAGTCCCAGAAGCACTTTACTAGAAATTAAGATTGCTGGCACACTGCACTTACCTCATAATCCTTACGTATCACCTGTCACATCAGCACTTTTAATCTGTACCCATTACTCAGGCCCGGCCCAGTTTTATTGTGTCCTGTTGTATTGTTTATTGCTTGTTGTTTAATATTGCTTTAACTGTTTTTAATTTGCTTTAGGTTGTGTATTGTTATGTTGTGTTTTGAGGCCTAGGCCTTTGTAAGCCGCATCGAGTCCTTCGGGAGATGCTAGCGGGGTACAAATAAAGATAATAATAATAATAATAATAATAATAATAATAATAATAATATTCATGAATTATTTGTGACATATACTAGAAACCCAGTCTCACATTGGTAATATCAAAATAGCCAAGGTTTGGGACTGGAAGGCCAGCTTGTATCACTACTATTGACTCGGTTGCATTTGGTAAAGAGGACACTAATGGTCAAGCAAGGCTCTGCCTTTCATAAATGACACACCAGACATTTCTGAGAGAGCTGCAAAAGCAGGCCGAGCAGAAAAACCGGGAAATTAGAACTATAAAAGCAAACACGGTTGCTAGAACCAGCCTTTACCAAATCATGAGCTAATCAATACACATTCTTCAAGTCATGAAAAAACAGAGACCTGCAGCCCGTGACTGTGATCAATTAATTATAAATACCACTGCAATCAGATCAGCCATCAGCCTGTGAGATTGAGGCTTGATGTACACCGCCATATAATCCAGTTTCTGAATCCACATTGTCTGCTTTGAACTGAATGATATGAGTCTACACTGTCATATAATCGTGTTCAAAGCAGATAATCTAGATTCAGAAACTGGATTATACGGCAGTGTAGATAGGGCTTGAGATATATTCTTATGCGCAAATCTAGCCAAAGTGCAGTTTGTTCATCTTTTCTTTCTTTTTTTGTCTGTTTCTGTATGTCTTACAAGGGGTTGGTTTGACCGGTGGTTTGCTAGTAAAACTGAATGACTGTGTTGCAAAATGATGCCTGTCTACAAAGCATGTCACCAAGATGAAATGGTTGGAAAGCTCTGAGACAGGGCATCATTTCCATATACATCTTACCAGTACCTCCCAAAGGAAAGGCTGAAACAGCTAGTGGGAGGTAAAACTTACTTTTCTGATAAACTTCCTAGGAGATCTCCTTGCTCTCTTCTATGGGATATATTCTATTCTGAAGCTGAGAATGAAACCTAGGACTTCATCACATGAAGTAAAATTAGCGTTTTTACACATTTAAGAAATGGCTACCAACAGAGCCCATCACACGACTCAAACTCGTACCGTGGGTTCCAGGTATTTCGTTGTTTCTACAGTGCGGTTTTTCCCTAACAATTCCTAAGTTTATCGGCAATCAACCTCATTTTAAATTCCCCACGTAGAGGTGGCTAAAAATGTCAAATTTAATATGTGATGGGAATTCCCCACTGCACGCTTGTAAAGATAACGATGACATCGTTCTGGAAGAAGGAGCCAAGATGAGCAGGATGGATTACTTTCTTCCACCATAATCTTTTTGGGACTAAATAATGGTAATTTATATCTTTTTGCTATCAATGTAAATTCAATAGAGTTAACTTTTGAATTGAGAGGTATCGGGACTTACAAAGAGAAACTGTAATATGGAATAATATAGAATAGAAGAAATCTCATTTAATGATCTTGCGTTCAAAGTACTTTGGCGAGAACAAACACAGCGGATTTTTTCAAGTTAAAAAAAATGGGGGAGGAGACAGTGGGAGGAGAAATACGTCTCCCATGGAATGGGAAGGCAAATGGATGATAATTGGTAAAGAAAGCAGAAGGAAGGAAAAGGTATGATGGGGACAGGAAAATAATTTGTTTAATTTCCAAACAGGGCATTGCGAAGCTTAAGGGAAAAACAATAATCTCCAATTACTTATCACATGGAATGAAGTCGCTAAGAAGAGTTTCCGAAGAAACAGATACCCAGCCTCTGTCCCAGCTGTTCTTGGGAAAACTACCTTGTGTTATTAGATACAGCAAATGCAATGGGAAAAGTCAAGACACAAATCTATGCCAGAACCAAACCCAATCACTAGCAAAATCAATGCACATTCTTCAAGCCACAAAA